AGCAGACAGCAGACAGCAGCCCTGAGCAGACAGCAGACAGCAGACAGCAGCCCTGAGCAGACAGCAGAGAGCATGGCCAGCGGCAGCCTGCAGCAAGCGGACGAGGGTGAGCACTGGGAACGGCAGCGGTCTCTCTTCAGGGTGATTCGTGTCAGCGTGCAGCACACACTAGAGAAAGGAGGCGCAGTCTGGCGGATGAAGGTGATCGGAGGCACCCCATCCCATTACCTGAAAAAAGCGAGAGGCAATACTGTAATAGTTCAGGGACGCGTCCGGAGAAAGAGCTGCTACCGCCGGTTTAAGCGGAATGTCAGGCGACACTCGCAGGGAACACACACACACACTCACTCACACACACACTCCAACAGCCTCTAATGCAAGTACAGCAGTGCAACCAACCAATCAGATTCACGGCCAACCCGCGAGCTGGCAACACAAATCGCGCGTACGCTTGCTTTGAAACCGACGACACAGCAGCAGCAGCAGGATCAGCACCGCGGAGACCAGAGAGCTCCCTGTCCGAGCGCCTCATTTCAAGAGCAGCGGGACACCCCCCACGCGTGCAAGTCCCTGCAGTCAACAGGCTCAAATCAGTCGACAAACCGCATCGACGAGCGGATGTTTTTCTATATGGGCTTTCAAGACGGGATCAAACTCGCTGATAACTTCGGGGACACCCGTGAAGTTCCCGTTGTCGGGGCGCCCCTACAAGGCAGCTCTCGCTCCGACTTCACCACTGCAACCAGCCGGATCAAGACGTCAGTCCAACACTCATACTCACTGTCAAACTGTCCTGTGAGCTCTGACTCGATTAGACCATCAGCACAGCGCACAACGAATGCAACCCCAGGCTTCCCACGGCTCTCCGACACGTCGTGTTTTTCCCAGTCGCTAGAGCCTGCGGTCCGTCAGGGCTGTTCATCACCGTCCCCAAATAAGTCACATGCGAAACAAAACACTACCTTTCGAGGGGGGGGTACAGCAGCCATCCTCTTGACACACTCGCCATTCCGGAGTTCTCTCTTGAAGAGGGTTTTAGAGAAATACTCTTAATTAGTGTTGATGTCGTCTTTCCGGTGCCGCAACATCCGCGTCTTGGTTTTGACACGATGACGGGCCCAGTTTAGCCCAGTGTGGCCGCCTCTGTCCACCGACTTCACCGCAGCAGGCTGGGGCCGAGCCGTAGGAAGCGGGAGCCGCTCTTGAGGCGTCTGACTCGTGTTCCTGTGTCTCCGTCTCGGGAGCTGCCCGTCCTCATGAGCGGCGTGGCTGTAGACCGGGCCCAGGCCAGAGCTACTGTAGCTGTAGCCGACTCTTCAGCTGCTGCACCGTGAGCCGTGAACTCCGGACCGGGGTCCGGCTCAGCAAACGTGAAATAACCGGTCAGTCTGGGGATCTTTTTCAGTAGATCCGGCTCACACTGCTCTTTTAAAAATGCCTCACTCTCTAGTGAGCTCCACACTTTAGGGCCACCCTAGGGGGAAAGATAATAATAATAATAATAATAATAATAATAATAATAATAATAATAATTGCTTACACTTATATACCGCTTTTCTGGACACTGCACTCAAAGCGCTTTACAGGTAATGGGGTCTCCCCTCCACCCCCATACTTTCCCCCTACTTACTTGCTAGAGTCCGGTATTCGCATACAAGCTTTGTAACCCAGAGGTCGCATTCGTGTAGAGAGGCGATTCAAAAAGGCAGAAATCCAGAAGACCAAAGCGCGTCCAAACCAGAGACGAAAGCCGTAAGCCGTAGTCAAAGAAAGGGAAAAGAGTCCGAAAGGCCAGAAAGATCAACCGTGCCGCAGGGCAGAGAGAAAAGTCCGGTCCGGGGAAGTTTGTGCTCAGCCAGTGTCCTAAAATAGAGAGGTGCCGGGGGGGGGCTGGTGGACCAGGTGAGCAGTGTGGTGAGGTGCGGTGGGTCCTCGCCTTGTTGAAGGGACAGAGTGAGATACCGGAGATGTAACCCCAAGAGCTTCAGCGTGTCACAGGTCAGACGTGGCTGATCTGGGAGCAGTTCCCTGGGGTAGCCTGCTGACTGCACTGGCCTTACTGGTGACGTAGTAAATGTTCCTGATCCCAGACGCGACAGCCCTGACGATCGTTGAGAGGCTGGGCGACATGTTGCCTCTCGAGGAGCTCTGGAGAGGACAGGAGGAGACCGCCAGGTGGCTCCACATCGCGTACCTGTCTCTCCACGACTTCCCCGACGTGGAGGCCGAGCTGAGACAGAACGCAGTTTCCTGCCGGCAGCAGCAGAGCCTTGCTTCCAACTTGATTAGCAAGGTAAGTGGACAGGAGTAAAGTGAGAGTCCCGACTCTCCATTTGTAAACGGAGGTTTGTTTGGATGTAAGATACTGTGCATGGATCAAACACTGCCGTTGACTGCCTTATCGAAGAGGAGACGTCCTGTGTCTGTGTGCATCGATACAGCAGAGGGCAGCTCACCAGTGGCGCGACCCTTCGCATTGACCAGATCTGTAATACAATTTCTTTCTGTAATCAAAGTGTAATAAAACAGACGGATGTTCAAATGAAGTGACAGAGCCAATCCCTAAAACATGTTTTAGTGACCCCTAGTGGCAAGTCTGTGGTCACTGCACCCTTTAGCTCCATTGCGTGTACAGTATGACAACAAATCAGATTCAATTAAATCAATTCAGTATTCTATCAGAAGGATTTGTAGCCCAAGCCTTTTATAATGCCGAACTCTTTATTCCTCTTTTAGTTTAAAGCAACAGGTTATCAGATTTTGGAGGATTTAATTCCACAAGTGAGAGACGCCGTTGAGCTCCAGGATGCTGAACTGGCTCTGGACACCATTGAAATGGCAAAGAAGTGGACAGCAGAAATGAAAGAAGAAGCTA